AACAGAAAACTTACATCTGTGTCCTTTCAACCTTGGGAAACAACTTATAGCTCTTATAGTCCTTTTATCCGTCCTTTTAGCAGTGACCATAAGACCCCAAAAACGGTAAAGCGTAAATAAACTGTAAGACTAGGAATCTACCACGAAAACGTTGGCTAGCGTAGTCATCCGGGACCTAGCGCTTGGCCCAGACTACCACAACGTCACGTAAAAAACTTAAGTCACGCACAATTCTGCGGTAATAGAACAAATTTCGTGAAACTCTCTTTCTCGTAACGTGGGTGGATGAATTTCAAATACGTTTGATCTACAAACGCAATTCCACTCAGTTCAGACTGAATTGCCTTGATTCATTAACTTCTACTTCCTGTCATTTCCTTATTGATCAAAAGTTATTTTCTCATATTTGTCTAATATTCAGAGTGCTATAATTATAACTGTGACTGACAGACACATGATGTTAAGCATGACGTTGTTGTCTCGTCGAATAAACCAAATTCAACAACACACCTTGATCTCGGGTCAGCCAAAAAATAGACACAATGAAGACGCGATATGGAAAGTTTATTTCATTATTAATAATATACATGGAAAAATTACTCAGTTCTGATTGGTTAAGATAAATGCAGTTTTCAGGTAATTCAGTGCAGAAGAGAGTTAATTCAGTGCAGAAGAGGGTTAATTCAGTGCAAAGAAAGAAACAAACCAGACATTCTAATTGGTCAATAATCAAAGAAACTCGCAGATAGCCAATCAAATGCGAGCCTTGGATGTCGCAACAAGAAACAAAAATTTGAAAATTTGAAAATTTGCGAGCGAAACAATGGCCGGCGTTTTAAGTAGGTTTTCTTTCGCCACCGCAGCTGAAAAAAAGCTTAAACAATGAACACACCGTAAAAGGCGCTGCTTTTTGGTTGTCGGTTTGGAAAAAGTGGTGTTTAGAGAAGGGAATTGCCGAGGAAATCGAAAATTACGAGCCGACCCGGCTTAACACTTTGCTCGAGCTATCCAACGCCGAAATCAAAAACAAACATGGTTAAACCTCGGAAACGACAATTCCATTTCATCGAAAGTGATTCGGACACAGACTGGACAATTCCTTGAACTGTTTAGCCGGACTTTGATCTTTTTTGCGCCTTAAAGATGCGAAGATATCATTGCATATTATTGTTTTGATCTACGCAGTTGTTTTGACCGAACGCACGGTTTGAATAAATTATTTTTTGCACTTGATGCGCGCGCTTTGCTTATGTTTAATTATGATAGACCATCTCGTAATTTTCCATGTATATTATTAACAGGTAATCACATGATTTTTCTCGTGCAATTTGGAATAAACAAGCACATGTTAATTTTTTCAAAGACCACAAATTGCACTCGCCCTACGGGCTCGTGCAATTTTGTTACTCTTTGAAAAAATTTACTCGTGCTTATTTATTCCAAATTGCACTCGAAATCATGTGATTACCTATACAAAAATGATATGATATTCGTATGTAACTCCGAATCTATTTCTCTCCATCAAGCCGTCTATAGATTAAACCATTGTAACACAACACATGCGCATGTTGGGAATTGAAAGTCACTTTTCACGTTTCAAATCACTTTTCAAACTGTTGTTACGTGATCATGCATCTGCTGCAACATTTTGCCATACGGCTCATGGACCCCGCCAAAACGGGGATACACTGAACCACGACTAGCTTGCTTAAGATCAAACGTAACGCGTGAAAAAATTAATATAATCTAAAAACCATGTCGCGACTGAAAGAAAGCTTCACAAGTTGCTTACTTGGGAGATAAGTTTCTAAAGAAATTGTGGGTACCAGGTCGGTGAGGGGTATTACAAGATAATTTGATACTTCCAAGCAAATTAAATCGGTGCCACCACGAGATAATTTCGTCCTTCAAGTTAGTATTAAAAATGAAATAATCTGAAAAAGTAAAAAAAATATCTGACTCACCAAAGTTAAAAATGAACTAATCTTTGAAAAAAATAATGCTGAGGTTAGTCTAAGATATAATGGCTAACATTGGTTCAATATTTTGTTGTCGTAGTAATTGACATCATAACACCACCGTTGTTATAAATGCAACTGAGGAAGTACCATTGTCTCTGAACTGCACCATAAGTGGCGATGGAAGTTATATTTGGGAACGTCGGGGTGGAATCGAGATCGAAAATGCAAAAAGACAGGTGACTCTTCTTTCCTTATTTTCTATAAGTATATGTCTACTACTTTCTTTTATTTTCCACACTGAGCGAAAGGTGTTTCAAAGTAACAAAGTTTAAAGAAATGATCAGCATGCAGCGAACAATCATCGAGTTTTGGACGCACGTGGAAGGTTTGCTAAGCACTCAAGAAGCTAGAGTCGCACCTCCCTTTTGCTCAGCAACCTCGGCGTACATCCATAATTCGATGGTTGTACGCGGTTCCATTTTCTTTGCTCACTTTAAACCATTGACCCAGGATCCAAAGGTTAAGGTAGTCAATTAAGTCTAATTCATTTCTTTTGACATCTTTTACCCCAACAAGCTGGTGCCATTTCATCAGAATGGTGTAAGGGATGTATCTAGCCAGAGCTATATCATCATATACGCCGGATTAATCGGGAGTCTCCCGGATACAGAACTAATCTCCCGCTCTCCCGTACGGGTGACCAAAACTCCCGGATAAAAGGAAGTTTGAATCAGTTGCCCGCAAAAAAAAAAAAACTAAGATTTAAGCTCCATATGTTCCAAAGTTCCAAAATCATCTGGCTTCTTATGCCTGTATTACGGTTTCTGTCTTCATTTTCGAGCGTGATGCATGTTGTTCGTTGCAGACAGATAAATCCACGTTTTTCCCGCGAAATTTCTCCATGGTGGTGATGTTGGTGGGGGGTAGGGGGTCCAAATTACAAAAGAAATTTCGGGGGGAAGGGGGAATTCGCATTGGTGAAAGCTTTCTTCTCGAAATCAAGCAAAACAACATCAGACATTTAAAAGAAATAAGACTGGAATTCATCGTGATACAAGGTTTTGTTCAGATTTAAATTTGTGGCTTTACTGAGCCAGCATGTTTTTTGAACAGCGGTAAAAGCTTGGTTACCAAGCTGTAGCACAGGTGGTAAACATAGAAGATTTCTCGACGAGAAGAGCGGTGGAAAGTATCCATTTTTCGAGTCCCACTAGGAATCTGCAAGCCCAAATGGAGCTAAATCTATCCGTAAAAATATCCTATTTGTGTTTTTTAATTTGCGGCCTTCTATTTTATCAGAAATGGCTCTACTTTACGTGTTTTAAGAGATCGTAAACTGAAGAAAATTTTGAGAGGTCGGCACCAATGGAGGCATGAAAGACACTGGTTGTTTTAAAGCTCTAAAGTGAAGGTAAGTTAAGGTAATTTGATGAAATGAGAGTCGAAGTACAGACAGTAACCCGTGTTCTTTTAAGATCTTCTTTGCGGCCACAACAGTAAACCAAATTATTAATAAACCTTTGCTTCAGAGTTCAATTGCATATTATTTTTCTATAAGAGGTCGGCACCAAAATTGGATCTTCTTAAACAACCACAATACGAGATTTTGTTTTTGCTTCCATACATTTCTTTGTAACACCGGGAAGCCATTTCTTCAGTGATTTTTGATTGACGTGCGCTATTCGTGACGTAATATGTCTCTGATTTCTGGTAATGACTCGTTCAACGGTAATAGTCACATTTTTCAGTTTAACGTGTTTTATGCTTTCATTCAGGGTGACTCTCTGTTTATTCTGTGTCTGAAGACAATCTTAGAATTTTCTCCAGTGTGAGCGGTATATTAAATAAACAAAACTTAGTTTTACCGAAGATTAATTACGTCAACCGAGGAATTGAAATAAGCAAAACCGAAAGATGTTTTCATCGCTTAGGAAGGCGAGCTTAATTCTTCATTCATGTGGGTCGAGATGCAGAAACAACGCCAGTTCTCGCGGGGACCTCAACCTCAATAGGCTGGATACAAACAAAAGAGAAGGCAAAATATTGAAAGATCTGGAGGACGGCTTTGGTTTAGAATGTCTAATGATCAACCCTACTCGAATATCAAACTTATCATCCACCCTGCTCGCTGTTATACTTACGAATAGGCCTGATATTTTTACAAAGGGTGGAACCTATAATCCATACATCAGTGATCATTGCCTTATATACGACCAAATAAATGAGAAAGTTACTCATTACAAGCCAAAAACAATCTTGTGTTGAAATATAAATACCGTTGATTGCCAGCTATTGACAGATGACCTTTCAAACGCTCTCTGGCATTTGGGTGCGATATTCACGGAAATCGACGATCGAATCGATTACCGGAACGGACTGATGAATTACATGATCAATTATCATGCACCAACTAGGAGAAAACGAGTGCGAGAAAACGATGTCCCGTACATGATCATAGACTGGAAAAAAGCCATCAAAAAGAAGAGACTATTTGCGAAATTATATGCAAAAACAGAACTGATGAAAACTTCAAACTGAAGAAGAAGTACAGAAATTTGGCCACGAAAGAGCACAGAAAGCAATTAAACAATTCTGGAAAACGAAATTGGAAAAGATCAGGGTAAACCCTAGGGACTCCTTCAACACTTTTCAGCCTTTCATTAGCAACAGAACTGCTAAGAATAATCCTATCATTCTGAATGTAGATGGAAATGTTACGAAGAATGATGCGATCGTTGTTGCTAATTGTTTTGCGCGTTACTTTGCCAATGTAGCGCTAAATATCGAAGGGCAACATGTGCATGATTTACTTGAGGATCACCAATATTACACCAAGAAAACATTATGATGCAGCCCTGGATTTCAGCTTCCCAGCAATTACTGAAACAGATGTGCCTGATGTTATTGAAATTATCAATCCTAGGAAATCCCCCGGTTAGGACTCTCTTACTGTACCTATCCTCCTTAAGAAAACTGCTTCCGCTACTGCTCCATCTTTGGAGGCCATATTCAACCACTGTATTGCTGAGGGCTTCTGATCTACGAAGAGGCTCCCGAACCTAGTTCATCCAACAGTTTGATATTCGCGTACGGAAACTCTTTCCAGTTCATCTCACCCGGCTTGTAAGCAGTGTTTGTAAACGAGCATGTTAACGCTTTAACATTCTCCGCATGGTAAACTGCTACTTCGCCCTGAAAGACAAAATATGCGTGGACAGTGATTTCACATCAAGGATGGTGTGATTTTAGTTAAATGGCAAGGATAGGTCGACAGAACCTTTCGTAATGTGCGATAAATTTCTGATGGAGAAATGTTCAATTGAGTGTCCAAGGTAATCCTGGATTGCTTTGATTGTGACTTGCTCCGCTGCGTGACTGGTCCAGAAAACTCGCACCACTCTCTTGAACGGGCCTAAAGCAACTTGCTTGTTTTTTACGTAGAGTTCTCATCCTCGGGATATTTTCCTTTGTCGTGATAGGCTGCTGCGATTAGTTTGATTTGATTTTTCGACTCTTAATGGAATGCTCTAATTGCATGCAACTGTAGAATCGTATCTGGTTTATGTTTATATAGGATTAACACAAGAAGTGAATCCGCCGTAAGGGTATCTTTTGAGCCTCGTTTTGGGATGGGAGAGTTTGAAACCGAGCCTCTCTTTGCTCTCTTCTTTCCTGCGCTTTCTTGAGTCTGTGAATAATAATGCCGATGAGTATACCAAGAATCAAGAGGACACCTAACACGGCCAAGAAAATAATCCACCAAGCAAAAGCTGTAATAAAAAATGTGTGATATCAGAATTAAAGCCACACATGACATTGTCGACCTTTTTCAAAGGCTGTATATCAGTATTCAAGGATGGCCATAGGTGAGACGTAAGGCGTAAGATTGCGGGTACAATTCCTTATGCTGTAAAATGCAAGTAGCAACACATTTTTGTTAAAACTTGTTAAAGCTTGTAAAAACCTGACTTTAATTCAAACTATCCCTCACTACTTTCGGAGCAAGATAATTTATCGAAATTTTAAAATAGGAAGACTTAATTTCCAGCATACGTTTGCCAAAGTGTTTTGATGCTTAAAAATTGCGAAGGTACAGTAGTAATACATAAACCTAAAGATATAAAATAATCAGTGATCAAGTTTCCAGCAAAATATGAACGAGACGTCACGTGTAAAGGTTAACAAAACACTGATGAAAAAACTTCTATTTACGAAAAACCTGTTGTCAATTTTAGAAATTACTGTGAATAGTAAAAAATGGCTTAGGTGCGGGTTCGGTTTCATGGCCGGTTTCCTCGTTGAAATTGGGTCCATACGGGTTAACAGCACCGACCCGTATCATGTAAATAGTCTCAGGTTCGAGAGACTTAATCCTGTAATAGTAGTCTTTAGTTTTAGTGGTAGCTGTTTGAGTATGCTCGCTGTAGGTCTCTTCACCATATGCTCTGTATTGCACCGAGTATGTGCGAACGTCGAAAGTTTCAGCAAATTCCGACGGTTTCCATCGAACACTCAGCTCATCTGATTTCATATCGAAGATCTCCACACCCTTAGGTTCTGGAGGTTCGGCTGAAAGTGAAAAATGGAGAGAAAACCATTATAAATGTGAGTGGACAATCAAAGAGATTATCTGAGGGCTAAACGATGAAACAAAGTGCAAGTATTAAAGTTACAGAGACATCTAAAAAATTACTCTAATAATGGCGAGTGTTTTTTTTATATTGCTGCTTATTTGTTTCTTCATATCCTTTCCAATCACATAATGCTAGAAAAGCCTCCTTATGTAACGTTTCTATTGACAGTAATCCTTCCTTACCCGGGTGATTGAATCTTACGAAACAAGAGGTCCATTGACCATCAGTTTGCACATTCTCCACAACGTTTTTTTTATAAATATCCCATTTTCCCAACAGGAGTATTTGTTCAACAGTTAAAAGCTCTCATAGTTGCCAATTAATGATACCTTAAGGAGAAATTAGAAACTCGGAGTGTTACTACTTATCCTAGATTGGACACCACTCCATGGCAGGTAACTCTTCTGCAATTTTGTTAAGTTTCAGCAGCAGTGGCAGTTTGTTATCACCTATTCATACATATTCATGCTTCTGGGTGGAAAGAGGTACTGTAAGAGACTGGAGTCTCAGGAAATATCGAATCCCGCCCGAAATTTAAATAAAAACTTGTAAAGAACCAGTTTCACCACGACGAACTTACTCTTTGGAATAACTTTGGACACTTTGAGCCGCTTTACAAAACCATCTTTGGCTTCTTTAATCGTTGTTTGAACGACGAAGGCCTTTTCATCTGCAATGGTTGTTTCGTTTTTGGGATCGGTTGTCACAATTTGGATAATAATGTTGAATCTACTACCACACTTCCTTTCCTAAAATATCAAGGGACAAAAGTCGTTGTAGCAAATAGTCATACCGTAGCTACAATGATTACTAACGTGGTAATTTATAAAAAATTGGAAAACAGGGGAGTGAGAAAAAGATAGAGGGAATCTATTTCTTTATTCTATTACCCAGCACTAAACTTAATATCTTTTCTATTCTGGTTGCTCAGTTGTAGAGAATCGGAGTGTAAAATCGTTGGTCTGAGGATTCATTACTATAAAGGGACTCAGAGGGTTTATTTAGCTTCATGCAATAACGAGTTATATTCCTCAATAATCATGGAATTGTTTGTTATTTATCTTTGATAAGCAAAAGCGACTCTTTGGATAAATTTATGTGCAATGGGGACCATTGATATATGTTGTTTATTCACGTTTAGATCAATACAGCACATGAAATAGGAGATATGCGATTAGATACTATTAAGACTGATTCACGCGAAAAAGAAATATTTTGAGTTTTCAACGGTGCAGTTAAGAATTAGGAATACGCTGTGGCACTCACGTCATTTTCAAAACCTCTGTTCTTATGTATCCTGGAGTATCTCTGTAAACGAAGTCCATCTGAAAAATGGCAAGAGGTGTTACTTTTTTTTCATTTAATATTACCCTTTAAACCCTTGCATTAAAAGCATTGAACCTATTGACGAGGTGAGAGATGGGGAGAAAGACGGTTGGTAAGTCATTTGGTGGAATAATTGGTACGAACAGACAGTGAGGAGAAAGGTAAGAATCCAGAGAAAGAGGGAAGGAGGAAGGACTGAAGAGAGTGAGAGGGTGGGAGAAATGGTAGAGTGTTGGAAGGGGAAACGAAGGAGGGCGAAGAAAGGGAAAGGAGGAGAAAAAAGAAGGAAGGGCGGAAGGCATGGGAGAGAGAGAGGGAAGAAGGAGAGAGATTGTAAGGTGAGAGGGGAATGAGAGGGGAAGGAGGAAATTACTGGAGGGAGGAAGAGAGAACAGAGGAAGGAGGAAAAGGAGAGAGGAAGGATTAGAGAGGAAAGAAAAATGCGAGTAGCCTAGGAGAAAACAAAAGGGAATGGGGAGAGGAGGAATGGAGGGATGAAAGGAGGAAAACAAATCATACCTCATTGGTAAAGTTTTTCTCGATTAACTTGTATTGTAGCGATGACTTATTCTCCAGCTCTTTAGTATAGTTGTAATTTTCAACCTTCAGGGCCATTTCCACCTTGACTTCAACTGTAATAAGAAAAAACACACCCTCATCTCTACAACGGACATCATAAATTACTTCTTCCTTCCTAGTATAGTTTAGCCTCTTTGAGTTTTTGTCAGCAATGCAACTACCGAGCTAACACTTTGTAGTCAATTTCAATCCATTTCAATCTTCTCCATCCTCAGCCAACCTTGTTTCTTTTCGGTTTGTTGTTGCCTCTTTTGTGTTTTTCTATTTTACCGTGCTAATATTTGTAGTCATTGTCATTCCATTCTAATATATCTTCTCCAACATTCTAACTCTGTGGCTTATCAGTGCCTCTTTTGTGTTTTTCTATCGTACCGTGCTAATATTTTGTAGTCATTTTCATTCCATTTTAATATATCTTCTCCAACCTTTTATCTCTATGGCTTATCAGAGCCTCTTTTGTGTTTCTTCATCGTACCGTGCTAGTATTTTGTAGTCATTTTCATTTCATTTTAATATATCTTCTCCAACCTTTTATCTCTATGGCTTATCAGGGCCTCTTTTGTGTTTCTTCATCGTACCCAACTAATATTTCAAAGTAATTTAAAATCCATTTTTATCTATTAGCTATTGTTATCTTTAGCTATTGTTATCTTCAAGTTGAGGAAAGTTTTGCTCGGGGCAAACATCTCTCCAAGAGCTTCCCGCGGCGAGCTTACGTCAAGTCTTATTTCGCTGGTATTTATGAATCACGCGACGGACTTTGACGAAAAGGAGGGACTGCTTCTATGTATTAGGAAGTTAAAATTTATTCGAGACATGTAACAATAAACGACGCTTCTGGTTCCCTTTGAATATAAAGAAAAGTTAGTTTAGGTTGAAAGGCTTATTACCAACTACCTACCAATAACATGTATCGTGATGGTGAGAGAGCTTTTGCCCACTTTACAGGTGTAGACACCAGAATCTGCAATGGCCATGTCAATGATTTCAAGCAGTCTTCCTCCTCTTTTAACCTTCAACAAATGCAGCGACAGCGTTAAGCTTATTTTTCACAAATTCATACTTAAAAGTCCTTAAAGGCCCTTTATTAGAAAAGCTATTCTGGGCCAGCTACTTAACCTAAACAAGACTAATGGTGTATGATTAGATATTTTAAATTAAGATCTTTTTCAGCACGACTTCTATTACAGGGTCACATCCACAATCCTTAGCACAACTTGGCTCTTATTGGCACTCAGCTTCTTGGCACTTATGAGCTCGATTGAATCTACAGTCCCTCAGAGTACGGGGGTCCCTTGGAAGAGGTTTCTGTACGGAGAAATTCCACTGTCGTTGGAATAATTGATCGTTTTGTATAGTGCCATTGGTTTTTTTGTGTAAATGACCCTTGTAATAGAATTTGAACTGAAACCTTAAAGGAAAATTACTATAAAAAAAGAGAAACTATGAATTCCAGAAACGCAGAGAAACGCAGAGAAACGCATGCAAGAAGCTAGGTACGTTTAACGAAAAGGGATTAGAGATGTTCTTCTCGATATTGGAAGCAATCGAAGTACAGTTCAGCTCGATATTCGAAATGGGAAACGGAGACATTCTTAACAGTGCCACGGTGTTGTCTTCTATAATTGGAATGGGAGACCTGCTGCACTCTATCAACAACTGAAGGTGCAGGGAAGAAATGCGGTGGGATGGATGGGTGAAAACTATTGAGAGAGATCGTAGGAAGGTGAGGTAAAAATATAACCAGATGGGTAGTATTAAAAATGTTTAGCTTGCAGCGTGCAACCATCGAATTATGGATGCACGTGGGAGGTTGCTAAGCACGAAAGAAGCGTTAAAAGCGAGGTGCGACTCTACTTTCTTGAAAGCTTACTAAACCTCCCAAGTACATCCAAAACTCGATGGTTACTCGCTGAATACTGATCATTTCTTTAAAAGTTTGATACTTTAAAACTGCTTTCGTTTAATGCGAAAAATAAAAAATGTATATATCAGATATACATTTATAGAAAATAAGGAGAGAAGAGTCACCTTTCTTTTCGCATTTTCGATCTCGATTCCATCCCGACGTTCCCAGGTATAACTTCCATCGTCACGTATGGTGCAGTTCAGAGACACTGACTGTCCCACGGTTACATTGATAATAGAGATGGAGCTATTCGCAATAAACAACAAAATATTGAACCAAAGTTAGCAAATATATCTTGAACTCACCACGGCATTATTCACCACAGATTAGTTCATTTTTAACTTTGATGAGTCAGAATTTTTTTTACTTTATTATATTTTTGATACTAACTTGAAGGATGAAATTATTTTTGGGTGACAAAGATTTAATTTGCCTGGCAGTAACAAGAAGAATCGGAATTCGCATGGAAATTCACAACTTTTTAGTAGCAGAAAAATGAAATTCAAAGTTAAGCATGAGTTACTAGACAGCGAAAGTTTCTTTATCTTAAAAGTTTAACACTTGAACTCAATTTTTAGCTTTATGGTTTGACGGCCATCAAGCAATTTGCAAATATGTCTTGAAAGCGCTTATTCTTTCAAGATCTGTTGAATAACATTTAGGCACACACAGTGCATGTCGATTGTGACAAGGAAAAGAGACAGCACATGGCTTGAAAGCGTTTCGTCTTCCAAACGTCTTTTCCCTGCTTTACTTGTCTATGTATTGCAGAATATGTTTCACTTGAAAGTGAGTCTTTCAAGTTTTTCAGGTGGGTTCTTTCAGTTGTTCTTTCAAGAGCGAATTGAAACACAGAAGCTTCAAAGAGTGTTTTCACAGATACAATGCGTATTCAACTAGTCAATAATCCCCCGTCTAAGCTCACTTACTACTATCACTTACCGAAAACTTGCCTGGCTTGTCAGCGGAAATTTTATAGGTGCCTCTACGCAATCAAAGTTTAGCAATGAGGTGAAGAGATTAGAAAATCAAAATTAAAACTAGGAATGTACTTATCTGACTCAAGCAATTTCCGTAATCCAG